ACATGCACAAACTGGAGTCTATTAGATAGATATGATACAAACCACTGCAGTGCAGTACCTGTAATACCTACAGCATGTTCTAATCGCTCTAATAGGATATTATGGTCGACAGTATCGAACGCTGCACTGAGGTCTAGTATATGATCTATAGCCTTAAACATTCAGAAGGACATCTACTGTAATGAAGTCAACTCCCCACTGCTGTGTAATCAATTATTGTAAATCCAAATGTTATCAGGAAATGATCGGCGAAGGGAGGGAACACTGTTAACCCTGTCATCCATGAATTATGACAACCTCAGTCAGGATTTTTATTCACCTTTAGGCATGAAAAAAATATTTTTGTACTTCATTTTTTTAAACATGTACTTTCAAATAGTTTTTTACATGTCCACTTAGGTGGACAACATACGTTTTGACTTGTGAATTTGACAAATGAATAAATACAAATGTTTTGTGTTTATGTGCAAGTATACCTTCGACACTGACACAAATACAAGAAGGCAGCCTTTGAATTGCTGTCCACTGTAGTGACCAGCCAGCATTTTAAGGAGAACGTCACTCCTGGTCTGATTGAGGAGGGGACCAGAGAAAACAGCAGTCTGTCGTGGGTGTGTTGAAAAATGATTACAAATACGAACAGGTTGGCGGTGTACCAGAGGCCTCTATTTTGGATTATGCTTTCGCCTCATCATCAGCCAGCTGGCCTTTCCCCCAACTGCTCAGGACAGTCTGCTTGGGCAGAGTTAAAGGCTGCTACGTGACCTTTGGCTGCACCGACTACAGCGACCTGGTTAGTTGTAGTCAGTTTGTTCCCAGTATAGTTTAGTCTTTGTTCCGTTCACCTTTTGTCCATTTTTATTTTTACTTTACAAGTGCCTGCGTTTGGATCCTCCTTTATTTTTCCACACGGCTCATCTCACTCGCCGTGACAGTTTGTTTATAATGGAGCACTGTAACGAAAAATAATTTCCCCTAGGGATCAATAAAATATTCTGATTTGTCCCACAGTGGGGACATTTTGAGTGCTACTGCAGCAAAGATTATAATATTAAGAATACTTGTTAGATTTGAATGGTTATGATTTTATGGGATTAATATAGAAATATAGGAGGCCAAGCTGAAAATGTTTTAATCTTCACTGAGCGTAAAGCAGGATGGTCACGATTAGAAATGCACACATTAAAGGGACAGTCCAGGGTCAAAGAGGCCAGAGGGAGAGGCTGAGATGTTTGGACATGTACGGAGGATGTTCACTTGTCCTCAGCAGGGTCATGGGAGAGGGGCTGAGCCTATCCCAGCTACCATAGGGTGATGTACACTAATGACAGGTTGCCAGGAAACAAGCTTTTATTAAAGGGAATGTCTTTCTTCAGCTTTTAATAATAAACTTCTTAACCAGATTAAACTTGATTTTCAATTCAATTTCAATTCAATTCTAATCTTTTTAATCAATTTTAATCTCATTGGTTGAATTTTAGACTCAGTGATCTCAGTGTGTGAGAGTAAACCTTTCCAAACAGCTGACTTCTTCTACTGGCTCACCTCAGGGTTTTTGTCTCTCCCCTTTACTATATGTTTTGTACACTAACGACTGTCCCAGTAACAGGCATTTCTTTAAATATGCAGATGACACAGTTATTGTAAGCCTCCTTCATGGTGGAGAGGATTCCCGTGGGCCTGTTGTGGATGAGTTCTCTTCTTAGTGTGATCAGTCCTTCTTAAAGATCAACACCTTGAAAACTAAGGACATGGTGACTTCAGGAAGACATCCTCCCATCCTGCACTAACAGTGGTAGATGGTGCAGCCATTGAACTGGTGGACAGTTGTAAATATTTGGGGGTTGTTCTTGATAAGGCTCTGTCCTTTCAGTCACATCTTGATGCTACAGTGAAAAAAGGTCCAACAACGACTGTACTTTGTGTCATGATCGGGAGTCTGCGACTCCGTGTTTATGTTATTATGATTCTGTGGTTTTGGTTATTTTGGGGTTCTTGTACATTCTCTGTTCACGTTTCTGTGTTCCCCAGTCTGTGTGAATCTGTGTGTTGTGTCATTGCGTGTATGTGTTTCCTGTTTTATTGTGAAGGTCTGCGTCTTATGTGAGTGTTTTCAGTTTGCCTCCCTTGTCTCGTCACGTTAATCACTCCCAGCTGTGTTCCCCACCTGTGTGTCATCTCCCTGTGTCCTCTGAGTGTATTTTAGTCGTGTCTTCTGTCTTAGTAGTTGCTGGTTTGTCTGCGTTATTCCCCTCCGTTATTCCCTGTTTGTTCCTCCGTCTTCCTGGTGATTCTCCCTGCAAGGTACCCTCGTTCGTGTTCTGGCTTTGTGTTAAGTTTTCCCAGTTTAGAGTATTTTCTGTTCCTCGCCCCCTTCCTGTTGTGCTGTATTTCACCTTTTGTTAATAAAGCTCACTCACTACTTAGCAGTCCGCATCTTGGGTCCTTATCTCCTTTCCACACGTCTGCTACGCCAGGCGTGACACTTTGTAAGGAAACTGGGAGGTTTTAACGTTTCATCTGAAATGATGACCCTTTTTATAAAAGTTTTATTGAATCTGTTTAAATGTTTTGTATCATTGGTATGGTACTGTGTCTTTGACCAATAAGACCAGACTTGCTAACCTGGTTAAAGTGGCTGGTCAGATTTCAGGGAGGTCTCAGGTCCAGCTTGTGGGCTTTTATAACAGGCAGGTGCTGAGGAAGGCGACCTCGGTCATGTTATGTTCAGACCGTCCTCCCTTTAATGATCTTCAGCTGCTTCCCTCAGGTCGTTGGTATAAAGTGCCTGCAGTGAAGACATAGAGTGTCCTTTGTACCTGCTGCTATTATCATGGTTAACAACACTAAACCATGAGTGTTGTTGCCATTGCACTTTGTTGATAACATTTGGGCCGTCCTCTCTGGGGGTTTTTTTCCTGTGAGTTGTGCTTGTTTACTTTTATCTGTGTGTGGACAAACTGCAAATCAATTTCCCACTGGGGACAATAAAGTTACCATTGACCACTGACCAATCTGTTGGGTTGCCAACACATAGGCAGACAGCCATTCACATTCACACCTATGGGCAATTTCACCAGTCAACCTAACCCCACTAACTACACGTGCAGGCGGAAGCTGGAGTCCTCGCAGAGAACCCATGCAGACACTTTTCATCATCAAAACAGTCAAGCTTTCCTGATGTGACTGAGATTTTCAGCTTCAATGAGATGAAGTGTAATATTTAATGGAGGATAACCTGTGACATAAAAAGCAAAATCAGAGAAAATTTGGGATTAATGCGAGCACACTGAAGGGTTCACAAAGGCCAAACAATAAAATTATAAAGAGAACCATGGAGTTCAATAATATCTACATTCTTTATAGCCACTCTCCCTACTTTGCACATGTTCAAATCAGCTAAGCCTCTCTGACTCTGAGCTGTCTCTCTGATGGACTCATTTCTAATCCTGTCCAACCCCTCTCAGTTCCAGTGAACATCTGGATCATCTTCAGCTCTGCCACCACCATCTCCAAACCATCCATCACAGAATCCAAGACAGTCAGGTGTTAATGATGATGTTAAACTGCTCAGCAGCAGATTTAAATAATCCAAGACATTCATTCATTTGAGTGCAGGCGTACAATAATCCAGTGTGATGGTTGGAGGCTCATTTGAAAAATCTACCACTTCTGGCTTTAACACCCTTATTTACGTATTGTTTGAATGGGACGCTGTGACGTGTGCTTTCTGAAGCACCGTCAGATGTATTACGCTGGCTGTAGTTTTACGCTCGAGCTGACGGGGGCAGCAGTGCGCCTCAGAAGTGCCGGAAAGCCTGGCTAAGGAAGAAGAAGTCAACCGGAAACAAACGATTGCGTTTCCTGTTTTCATCAACACACACGTGTGTGACTGTGTGGACGACGTCTTCAGAACCCGTTCAGACCCGGACATCGGACCACCATGTTGGAGCAGCTCGGTCTGATCGGGACGATCCGGGACGAGGATCCGAGTCCCGACGAGGCGGAGACCGAATCCGAGCAAGAGGTGAGTCGGATCCGGGACCAGAGCCCATCCGCTGGTGTTGGTGTGAATAATTTTCGGTGAGGTTCAGCGGCTCGCTGTCATTTCCTGCGGACTGTCCCGAAGAACAAACATTATCTGACACTGAAATCAATGGGATTAGTTACCGCTCACTGAAGCTTTAAGTTCACCGTAATATCGGGCCCGTGGGACCTGGTGTGGGACCTGGTGTGGGACCTGGTGTTGGACCTGGTGTTGGACCTGGTGTTGGACCTGGTGTGGGACCTGGTGTGGGGCCTGGTGTGGGACCTGGTGTTGGACCGGTCCCACAGAGCATCGCACAGCTGAGTGTAAACTGAGGAGAGCTGAGTGCAGCAATGGCCACTAATGCAGCATCGCCTCTCCCGGTCAGTCATAAACACATAAGCAATGAAGCCAACTATGAATCCAAAACCAAACGGGGGTTAAAGGTCAGAGGTGAGCGGGGGGTCTGTGTGCGGGGGCCGGACGGGGGCTTCTCCCTTTGATGTTTGGTGGTTTCAGCTGCGGGCAGTGTTGGGGAGTAACGGAGTACATGTACCGCCGTTACGTGTTTAAAATACAAAATATGAGTAACTGTATTCCGTTACAGTCACCATTTAAAAAGGTGGTATTTAGAATACAGTTACTTTGTTGAAATAAATGGATTACAGGCGGTCTTTTCCTGTTTCATATGTTCGGCTATGCTCTCTCTGTTTTTGGTTTCCACGCCGGTGGAAACCCAAACAAAACACGCATTAAGAGGCTCTGATGTCTGTGTCTCTATCTCGCGGCCCGTGTCACCTCTACTTGCAGCCGCATAATGACGTGAAGAAATATTTTTTTAAAATGATTTAGTATGAAGGCAACAGGCAGAGAGTTACAGGCATCGCCCTACAGCATGCAGCCTGATGGGCAGTGTAGTCCGTGCTGCAGGGAGGATGGACCCGTGATGTGTCTGTGAGCGAGGGAGGGAGAAAAAGGAAAAGTACGAGCTGTCTGAGCAGAAACTGGAGCTGGAAGCATGTAAATATAATAATAACCACTGCAGCCAAGAAGAGAGCCTGACGAGCCCAGCTGTAAGTAAGCTATTAAGACTCGACTGTACGCTGTTCGTGTTTTGACCAAGCGTCAGATCTG